TGCTGAAAGCCAGAACAGCTCTGAGATTTGGGGCACTGGAACTTGTAGGATGTCTGGAAGCATTTGGAAGCGTTTAGGAGAAAGCTCAGTATTGGCTATGGACTCATCACTAAGTCCAGACGATAACAATTTAAATACTAATGTAGATTTACATGTGCCACTGACCTGCCCTGGAACTATAGACCCTGTTGTGTTAGAGGTGATTTGTCAGAAGAACAGAGTGTCTTGGTGGCATGAGCTATATGGTTGAGAGCCACAAAAACAGGACCATTAATAAAAAGCTATCCAGAGGTCACCTGGGGCCCTTATCTCCCAGGGTCCTTGTGTAGTCAGTGGAAGGAGAAGCAGAAGGCCCAAGCAGAAGCCTAATGTGGCTGTTCTGCATGCCCCAGAGGACCCCACTCTTGACTGACTATACAAGGAGTTCAGTGTGAGGAGTTTTCCCAAATTAAAATTAGCTTTTGTGAATCCCCTGTTAATTCTGTGAATTCCCGAGAACCTAGACTTCTTTGGTAATGTCTTTGTGTCTCTTTCAGGGGTTGGAATGGGCATGACTGCTCCTTTTTTTTTGCTGAAGATGGCTCCTTACAGCAGAAAGTGAAGGTCTCTCTGCGGATCCCAAGCCAGTTTCAAGCCAACCCTCCTTGTCCTAGTGATGAAAGCATTAAGATTGAAGAGAGACAGGGGATGACCATTTATTCCACGTAAGGAACGCATCCTGGGATTTCCAATCCCAAGTGCTGAGGTCTCTAGGGTGCTCTGAAGAGCAGTGTTGGTTTTACCAGATGACTTGCTGGACAATGGGTGCATGTGGTAGAAGGAGATGGAGGGGTCTTTCTAGACTGAAGACAGGTGTTTTATGGCATTTCTTATCATTGGTCATGCTGCACCCATTTGGAATATGGATTTTTTTTTTCACTGGGAAAACAGGTGCAAAGGTTAGCCCTGAAAGCCTTTTTGTTTCACCTGGGGAGGTGAAGAGCAGGGGAGGGTGAATATGAAGGTACTCAGTGATTCCTAATTTCTGAAAAGTATTATTTTCCCCACTTTTTGGGATCAAGATGGTTCTTAGTCATCAAGAATGTCCTTTGGTGTGTTTCGCATCAAACTACAGGTCTCAGCTGAAGTCTCATTTAGATGGACTCATGCCAGAGTCCTCTTGGAAACAAGCAGCTATTGCATTGCTTCAGATAGCCTTTGAATGTCTGCAGCTGTTGACTGACAAGCTGGGCTCAAACTAGCATCACAATAGCAATAAGCTCTTCACCTTGTACTTAACCCCTTGTATGTTCCCCTGCCTCCTTGCTTGAACTATTCTGGCTGACTCTAAACTGTCTCGCTCCTCCCTTGCCTGCATGTGCTGCCTGACCCTTGCTGCGTGTGTGGGCCACTTCTGCAAGAACAGGCTGTTTTGTCTCAAACCTTGGCCCAGAGGCGGGGTGGTGAGGTGCTGGCTGATATTGAAACAGTTCCTGTTGGTGGGAGGGCAACATAAAACACCCCTTTTAAATATCATTGTGGGCTGTAATTGCTAACATCTCTGTTCCCACCCCCCCTTTTCCTTTAGCTCACTAGAATTTGGCTTCCCTTCATGATCTGGCTTCCAGCAGATGGTTGTTCACACCACAGTGAACATGACTGTTGACAGCATTGGTATAAGGACTGCGGGCTGAGCAGACTTGGAGATAACTTGGAGATAACCTAGAGCCAACAGGCTCTGATACGGCGTTGATTCAAAGGGCAGGGCCGTTCTGCTCACTGATATATATGGGTCTGTTTGGGGGGGGTCTGTTTGGTGTCTGCCAATGGCTGACTGCACCCCAGCTGTGTAATCCTTGAGATTTAATCTATCACAGAAAAAGTGTGCTGGTTCACAAAGAACAAGTGCATGTTGGCGGGACCTGGATCAAAATGCATGGCTAAATATATTGTGGCTATATATTGTTCTCCCTCTCTTCCTTTCTGTGCTCTGCCGGGACTGCTCAGCACCTCTCTGTGTTTGGTTTCTTTGCAGGCAGTTTGGTGGCTATGCCAAAGAGGTGGATTATGTGAACTATGCTGCCAAGCTGAAGTCTGCTCTGGGGAGTGAGGCTGCATACCGCAAGGATTTCTACTTCTGCAATGGTTACGACCCCCCCATGAAGCCTTATGGGCGACGCAATGAGGTCTGGTTTGTGAAAGAGTGAGCATCTGGCTCCCAGTGGTGCTGGCTTGCACTGATAGCCTCTCCACACTATGTCCTAGTCCTCTTCAAAATAAACTAACAATTTGGCAGAGACAGAAAACCATCCTTGTCCTCCCTCCACACCTATGCTTTGGTCTTTTACAAACCAACCATTTTAGAAGGACACTGCAGAGCTCTCTGACGATCCTGCTCCTTCGTTCTGGACCAAGACCTCAACGACACAGGCTCTCATGATCTCTCGGTGGCTTGCTTTTATCTCCCTCATGCTCTCAGAGTTCAATGCTGAGACAGCCAAAGTACTTAATTAGCAAGACTGGTGCCTGACAGTAGTCACGTCCAAGTGCTGTCAGACTATTAGTCTCATCTGAGGCAGGCAGGGGAACATGACGAAAGTGCATACAGGGACTTTTTTATCTTCTTGAGCTTGCTGCAGCTGTAAAATGCTGCTTTTATCTGTGCCATTCCAAAAGCAGTCTAAAGGGACATAGGCATTGCTACCAACACAGTGCAGTGAAAATAAGCATCCTTCACATTGACTCATAGTGTGCAGGAGAGCAATGCTTATGTCATCTGACTCAGAAATGTCATTTAGAGGAAGATCCAGGTTTCTGTTTGCAGCTATCTTCTGTTTGAGGTGAGACATTTTGGGGTGTGTTATGTCCTGATCTCGGCTAGCAGCTGGACAAAGTGACGTGGAGACCCCAAGATCATTTCCTCACTTCCTGTTACTTATGTGTAACATTTCTTTAAAACTAGCCTACACAAGGGCCAACACTGAAATGCGTGTGATAATCTAATTGAATTAGAAAAATACAGGCTGCAAAAAAAGCAGGTGCCTAATACTTGTGATCTGAGGGTGCATTTGAAGAATGGTGAGCATCTAGTGGAACTACTGTGGGTGCAGATCTTTAAAAAAACTCTCTTCTTAAATGGTGTTAGTTTCTGAAGGGCTACTCAGAGCAGCTCTCTTCTTTAAAGGAGGAGGAAAACCTGGCTGTTCTTGAAAAGAGGGATTTACGTCAAATAATGACTAGCCTTTCAGAAACTTCAAATACAATAGTAAGGGTGGGTCTTGTTTCAGGAGGACCAGTGATGTTTAACTGTTAGGCATCAAACCAGCATTTTAGCTGTCGGCTCTGCCCAGGAGGCAGCAGGATGCCCACAGTGGGAACACGCTCACAGACCATGCTGCTGTGGGTGCCTGTATAATTCGTTACCTCCACTAAAAGAGGTGAGCTCCTCTGATGCTTAAGTGCCCCAAATTTCAGGTGCTTTCCCAAAAGCCGTTTTCCCCCTGGGAAAGAGAGATTTGTCAGGTGGATCCCAGGTTCTGGCCGGTTGAGCTGACACGTGCCTGCTTTCTGAGAACAAATCTCAGCAGCAAAAGGGGAAAACCTGAGGTTCTGATGTGCTTTCCTTTTCTCTCTTGCTGAGCCATATAAGAGCTTTGCTATGGACCTCATGAGAGAGTTTCCGTTTCAGTCATCTGTGTGCAAGAGCAGCTAGTCAGGATGGGTAAAAAGAGTAGATACCATTTAATTTAAAAAAAAACAAGGGAAAAGCTATTGGCTGCAGTTAGTGATTGCAGTGCAGGGGAGGGGGAATCAAAAGGGAAATCAAGGCACACAAAGAATTATGCTTTTGAAGAAGTTTTTTAAGGAGCAAAGACCCTGCTAAGGCCGTCCCTGAATCCAAAGGGACCTATTCATGTCCCAGATTATTTTTACCTGTGTGGGTGAGGAATGGAGGGGCACAGTGCTGCCCGGTTTATGTGCTACCGGGTTCATTTTGGAACTTGTGTGTGGACTGTGGATACAGTCCTTTCTGGCTACTGGTGGTGAGTGTTCTGCAATGATCAAAATCCTGAAATTTCTCAAAATTTCTCTTGTGAAATCTCAGATGTTAGGAAGACCAATAATAAACCTGCTACGAACAGAGCTGCACATCTTGGCAGCATGTGGTTTTTTTTCATAACATGCATACACTCTGAACAGAGAACAAGAGCTTCTGACCCAACAGTGAGAGTAATCGCGTCCGTAGGCTCTGCCTGTGCAGCCCTGCTACTGGCCTTTTGCATGCAGTAGGCAGGGTACAGTTTCATAAACAGTGTTAACTGATATCAAAAGCTTATGCAAACAGAATTGCCTTTTCTGTGTGTGGTGGTTTAACCCGGCAGACAGCTAAACACCACACAGCTGTTTGCTCACTCCCCTGCAGTGGGATGTGGGAGAAAATCAGAAAAAAGGTAAAACTCGTGGGTTGAGATAAAGACAATTTAATAGGACGGAAAAGGAAGGGAAAATAATAATAATGATGATAGAACATACAAAACAAGTGATGCACAATGCAATTGCTCACCACCCGCTGACCAATGCCCAGCCAGTTCCTGAGCAGCGGCCACGCCCCCCCGGCCAACCTCTCCAGTTTTTGTTCAGCATGACGTCATATGGTATGCAATATCCCTTTGGCCAGTTTGGGTCAGCTGTCCTGGCTGTGTCCCCTCCCAGCTTCTTGTGCACCCCCAGCCTCCTCACTGGCAGGGCAGTATGAGAAGCTGAAAAGTCCTTGACTCAGTGCAAGCACTGCTCAGCAACAACTAAAACACCAGTGTGTTATCAACATTATTCTCATCCTAAATCCGAAACACAGCACTATACCAGCTACTAGGAAGAAATTTAACTCTATCCCAGCCGAAACCAGGACACTGTACACGCAAAGATGCCTGTGTTCTGTCTGCATTTTCTAGAGTTTTTAAATAAAAAAAAAAAAAACAAAAACTGTGATTTACAATTTTTGTGCTGATCATTGACTTTGTGAGCTCAGTGTGAGTTGTTGATTTGAAAGACTTTTGGTTGCCAGTTTATCTTTCTGTTTGGGGTACTAGTCATGTCACAGCATCTATAAATAGTCATAATGCTTTTTCCAGTAAATTGCTATTTTAGGTATCTTGGTGTGGCTCTGCATTATCTGACTGTGTGAGATGGGAGCTGATGGAGTAATCTCCTTTTTCATTAGTTCCAGCCACTGAGAGGCTTTGATGTATTTGTGTTAATGCAGAAAGTAGGGGGCCTGCTTACCTGAGGAAAATTGTGTGTTCACTTGTGTGTTCCTGTGGCTGGGGTTCACGGACAGTGTTCAGGCAAATATTCATGACTGATTTTCAACATGACCTACTATCCGGAAATGTTAGACATATCATCACATTGAGGTCCATCTAGCTCAGCACCCTGCTGCCAGTGATGGACAGTAGTGGACACCTGAGACAGATTACAGGATCAGTGCAACTGTGGGCTGATATCTCCTCTAAATACTCCCCCTGTCTTTAGTACAGTGTGGCTGAGGAATATTTATTACTGTGCTTGGTAGACCCTTATAGACTTTACCCCATGCATTTGTCCAGTTGCTTTTTAGACTAGGTAAGTTTACTATCCGTGGCATCTGTGGAACTCCTATGGCAAGGAGTTCCTTGCGTGTGGAAGAGCAGAAATAGTCTTTGGCTGAGGGTTTCCAGCAGGCTGTCTCTCTGCTCCATAGGCAGCTAGGTCAGCCAGCTTTTTGATACGCCTCTGTCACTGCGGGTGTATGTTTGTTTGGACAGCCAGACTCGCCGTTGACATTAGAGGGTTTCCAGCAACCTCTGTTCTGGGGCCAGGAGTCAGAGGCGTGCTCTGGATTTTGACCCGAGGCCAGCATGGTCACAGCTGCTCCCTTACGCACAATTGATTCCTGAACTGATGTTAAAAAAAAAAACCTTTTTCTCTGCCCCCTGAGGAATAATAGTGCAGCAGATTGCCTAGAGACCTCCTTGCTTCTTTTCTGTGCCTGTGCAATGTTCCAAGCAAATGCTGAAACGGGGACATTTTGGTGCTTTTCTGATGTTTGACGGGGAGTCATGACGTTAACTGTTGTGTGTGGATTTAAGAAGACCATGCACGGGAAACTGGAAGAAGGATGTTTCTTCTTGCTTAGGCACCTCGGTGCTGTTGGCGGCTGCCTTGCTGGGTTGTTGGGGTGCGGTGGGTGTGCTCAGTGAAGACTGCATCGCCGCCCGCGGCCCCGCTCCCATCGCTCTCCTTGGTGGGGAAGAGGAACATCTCCATGGCTGCCTGCGCTGCCTGCTGGGCTGGATGGGCTTAGCTGGGTAACGGCTTTGGGAATTATCTCTTCCTTCCAGAGACAGGAACGGCCTTGCTGCTAATTAGCAGCCGGGCAGGTCCCACCCAGCATGGTGCGGAGCAGCAGTGTGATAGCGATAGTACCAGCCACAGGAAGGGCCACATGTAAACAGAGCCAAATTCAAAAGCGTAATCTTGATGGGAATTATATGTATGCTGTGTAGATTTAGCCCTACTGGATATACCGGCTTCCTAAGCTGCCCCACTTGTTAGTGACATTATCTGTGAGAATTTTCCTGCTGGCTTCAACAGTGGCAAACCATATATATTTATATATATATACATGTGTATGTGTATAAATATGTGTATATGTATGTGTACGTGTATATGTACACATGTATGTATGTATGTAGTGTATGTGTAGGGGCCTCCAGATCCCTCGCTTAGATCTATTGGTTGGCTTCTGCTGTCATTGAATAACTTGCTAATGCAAACACAGCCACAGGGCGAACATTTGCAAACCAAGGTTTTAAGTCTGCCAGAATGAGAGCTTTGTTAGCTTCAGAGAGAAATACTTTCTTTTGTAGACACCTGCCTAAATATATCTAACACTGCATTAAGAAGATGACAGCCTTTATAAAAGAGCTAATTGGTTAAGTTGTCCGTATAAATCTGGCCAGACTTATAATAGTCTAGTCACTTTGAGGGGATGGGTGATTTATGGTGAATGGGGAAGTAACATCATTATTTCCCCATTTTCATCAATCACCGTGGCAAAGGGTGCATGAGCAGCTATTGTGCTTGTGGTAGCAAATTTTCAGCTTTGCAAGGCTGCCCGAAGGCGATGGGACAGGGGAAGAAGATGGTGGCTCCTAGTTCACGTCGTCCCTCCTGCTGTAATTACAGTAACACCTCTTTTACAATAACACTCTGAGCAGCGACTTTCTTTCTTCTGTGACAGCATTTCAGCCACACTGAGCTAAAAAAGAAATGCATCTCTTTTAACGGGACCATAAGTAGCTTTGGATGTATCACGCCTCTATAAAACTGCTTGGCAACATGATTTATTGGAGCAGGATCAGTGGTAAAAGTGACTTCTCTGACAGTAATGGATGAAACACTTCCAGCGTAGCTACTCGTCTCTGCTTGGTGCCTATGCCAACAGCAGGCTGGTTTTGTCAGCTCATTCATAATCTCTGCTTTGCTCTCAGCAGAATCTGTTGCACAAGACAGGTTTCAGCCATGGCGGATG